GGTGCTAAAATCTATTCTTGTATGCATCTTCAGTACATTAATTTGTTGATCCAATAAAGCATCTCGAGTATTTCTTTTCCTACACATCTGCTTCTGAAGTAATCAAGATTTTATGTTTCATCATTTAATCCTCAACACAAAGTATAAATACACCTGGCTAGTTCATTATTTGTAAATTGGCTTGGGGATGTATGGAATATGCAATAATTGAGTTCATCATTATCTGAACATATTGAAAGCACAGAGTCACTTGATTGACATTGTCGTTTAAACTTTTAGTTAGGTCCTATTACACAGTTTTATTTGACTATCCACATTATAATACAGCTTTTCTTTCCCCTAGTTATATTGGCAGACATTAATATTTCCTGAATATATATATATATGTATATATATATATATATATATGTGTATATATATATGTATTTTTTTTTTTGGTTGTTGGGTGTGGGTTGGGGGGGTGGGGGGTGATCTTTGAACTTTTTTTCCCTCTTAGTATTGAATGCAGTTAGTCAATTGCCTCTTCTTGAGCTTCTTTCTGTGGCTGCACTTCTACTCGAATGATACTTGAAATTGTTAAGAAGTGGAACTTTCTTAGCATGAGCATATCACTTAATGCTGATCAGTTTTCTTGTTCATGTAATTTGTAGGAACCAATCCCTGTTACACAACTTGTGAGGGAGACTGCTGCTGTTATGCAGGAATTCACACAATCAGGGTAGCTAAATTATATTGTTCCATTGTTTCGCTTTCATTTTAGTGAAGCAAGTAGTGTTTGTTTCTGAAATTAATTTCGAGACTTCCTGTTTTCTAATACCAGTGATATCATCATGAGGCTGATCACCTTATGGTAGCACTACTCTCTGGGCCATGATTTCCTTTGCCCAACAACCCATTTAGTCCCATGCTGGTTTTTTTTTAATAGATTTGATGCCTAAATTTTTAACGTGTGAAATGTATTTAGCTTGTAGGGGATTGGCTAAGGCAGCAAATAGAGTATTTTGTAAATTTAAGATTTGGTTGGCCTGATTAGGATTTATTAGCTATGCTTTGCTAATCTTTCTTCTCCGTGATAATTTCAATAACCCCTGGCATTATGTCACATTCTGTTAACACATGATAACAAATTGGTCGAAATAAATTATCTTTAGATAATTTTATTCACACGCTCTATTTGATAGAGGTAAAGTGGCTACTTGCTTTAGAATCAAGATTCCTGGAAGAGAGAGTTGAATAGTGACTATATGAATGGACAATCTGATCTCAGGACTTAACTATCACGGAGAGCAAAATTGGAGGACTCTTAATATGTTTCTTATTTAACCTTTCATAGAATTTTGAAAGGACTTGTTCGATATGTTTGTTCTATTATTATATCAGGCATACTTGCATTGCTTTTCTGATTCAATTCAATGGGTACTTTCTTTTAGTGGTGTACGGCCATTCGGCGTCTCTCTCTTGGTTGCGGGGTTTGATGACAAGGGACCACAACTATATCAGGTATGTCAGTCATTAATTTTTGGCATTATCCTTGTATTTCTTATTCCTTTTTCCTTACGACACTCATTTCTAATTTCTTTATAAACTATTGCAGATTGCGTGTTCTGCATTTTGGCATGAATTACTTCTCAAATTATGCCCTCTAACAATTTTTTAAACACTGTGTTTCTTAACAAACTATGCAGATATCATGTTATGCATTTTGGCATGAATTGCTTCTCAAATTACCTTTTAATTGTTCTTCTGTTTTTTGCATGTTGAAACATCTATTAATGGACTGAAACGATGGCACGTTCTTTTCTTGCCCATTGTTCTGCCCCATTAAATGGGTTGCCACTCTGAACTTTACAACCCTAAACATGTGTATCAGGATGAACTGTTTTTTTTGCACCTTTGTAAAACTTTGCACTGTTTTGTTGGCTGAATGCTAAGCTTGTAATCAAATCATTATCTGTCTTTTTCTGTAACTTTTTTCCCCTTAACTAGACGTTTGTTCTATAGGTGGATCCATCTGGTTCATACTTCTCTTGGAAGGCATCAGCCATGGGGAAGAATGTGTCCAATGCAAAGACTTTTCTAGAAAAGAGGTGGGTTATTATTCATTTTTTTAGATTTGATTTGCTAGGGTTCAACCATTGCCTTCCCTTCTCTTACGTCTGTACATATTTGGCATTTTCTACATACCAGATATATTAATCTCTTTGAGCAATTTTGAGCTGTAGAAAATGTCTACCAGCTTTAGTTCCTTTAAAAATAGTCAATCTTGGCTTTCCAGTCATTGGTTAATTAACTCTTCCATGACTTCTCTTTTGTATGGAAGCTGGTTATTCTGAATTCATTTAAGTTGTTTAAGATTGTGGACAATTTCCATTTGTTCAGAGAATTTGAGCATAGATCCCTCTGCTTGGAAGATAAAATTGTGACGTTAATAAAAGTCTGCCAGACTCATCCATTTGGACGAACATGGTTTGTTGTTCAATTTAACATAAATAGAAAAAATCACATGGTTTGTGAACGATCCACTAGATTATGCTAACCTATATATTATTATCCAACTCCAAATGGGAAAAAAACTTAAAACAAAAGTGTAACGAAAGCAGTGTTCTAAAAGGCGCTCCTAGGCGTCGCTATAGACGCGATCGTGGCGGAAACGCCAAACCAAGTGGCTTGGCTCCTTATTTAGTGGTCAACACAATCGTTGACCACTAGTCGCGCATTATTATCTTTTTTTATTATTATTTATTTATTTTCTAATTTATTTATTTATTTATTTTTACAATTCTTCTAAGTTAAAACTTAAATGTTGATTTACATTTGAAAGTTATCTTTTTGTTGGAAACTTTTGAAAAAAATGTATAAAGTTTCTATAAATTTGTTTTAGATGTTTGATAGGTATTATTTTTAATTATTAAATGATTTTTTGATTGATTAAAAATTAAAATAAGAAAACGTTTTTTTACGCATATGAGGCCTAGCCCATAGCCTCTACGCATTGCCTTGCATTACGCATTTTAGAACACTTATGAAAGATAGTATTATGTATGGCATTATGATTTTTCATAGTGCATTGATAATCCAAGTTCAACTACCATTGATTTCTAGAACTGCTATAATCTTCTTACCATGTTTCCATTGAACGCGATTTATTTGGATACTTTTTGCAGGTACACTGATGATATGGAGCTTGATGATGCTGTGCACACGGCAATATTGACACTGAAGGAGGGGTAGGCACCTAAATTTTCCAATCTTTGTTTTCGGGAGCACTGGTTGCGCTTGAATTTTTTATTTTTGATGGGGAAGGTGTGCTGGGTGTTGGATGCATTAACTTCCCATCTTCTGTTCTCATTTGAGAGAAAGGTTGCACTAAATTTAATAGGCGAAATAGGACTTTTGAATTATATCCTAGGTTCATTTTTCGAAATTTCAGTTTAGTTTTTTCTTCACAACCACCTGCGTTCTTGATTATGATCAATTTGTATTTTTGCAACAGGCTCGAATATTTCTTTCTTCACCCCTGAAGACTTGCATGTTGTTTATCCTGTAATTTTATTTTAGTAATCAAATTATTCGTGATGATTACCCCTCATTCCCACCATCTCAGATTTGAAGGACAAATTTCGGGCAAAAACATCGAGATTGGCATAATTGGCAATGACAAAGTGTTCAGGCAAGTGTCTTCTTTTCTGAGTTGTTGAATCTAAGTTCTAATCGATCTCTGCGTGGTCGATAATGGCAGTTGCCTCTTTTGTTGCAGAGTTTTGACTCCTGCAGAAATCGATGATTACTTGCAGGAAGTGGAATAGTGTTATCACCCCCAGCTCAAGTTATATTATTCTCGTTAAAATTCAATGTTCGATTGTTGCACGACTATTTGAGCTGCTACCGTTAGATCTTGTTCTAAATGATGTTATAAAGTTCTCTCCGACCATGAATTTTTATGTTGATTTTGAAACTTTGAAGTTGAATTTTCAAGCACCATTTGTTCTCCTTGGAAGTAGCATGATGATTAATCTGGGTTCGACATTTATGGCTTACGCTTATTGGTGTCATGTTGTTCTTTTTCTTTTTGATCCATACATTTCAAGGAACGCATCTGTGCAGCCCTTGTCCATTTAACCCTACTTTTAAAGAACATCTGGCTTTCAAAAGTGCAAGTACTTTGCTTACGTAAAGTAAAAGAATAAGGATAAAAGATATAGACAACCATAAGTATTGGGAAAGGAAGTTGCAATTTCATATCATGCTTTGCTTCATCCTCTTCACTGTTCGAGGAGTGCTTTAACACAGAACTACCATAATTTTGTGTGACTAAAGTAAAAAACCTCCTTTTAATTCTAAGAAGCCAAGTAATTGAATAGTGTCAATACTTCATCCGTGTTTATAGATTGTCAATATATATTGAACAAAAACGAAAAATAAATGGAAAAGTCACCCCATTTGTTAATTATACTCTACATCTATGGGCAGAAGAAAATTAAATTGACAGTTGATATTTACCGAAACTAACATTGAGGGGTTGCTCAATTGGTTAGGCCTTGGGTTTGCTCCCTAAAGATTACCAATTCGAGTGCCCTCAGGGCCACTAAGATGAGTACCCGACCGTAAGCTTCAGGGCCCCGTGGAATTAGTCGAGGTGCGCGCAAGCTGACCCGAACATCCACTGTTATAAAAAAAAAATATTTACCGAAACTCAAAAATATATTTGTTTTAACTTTGCCATTAGAGACTATTTAATCGGCAAAAAACTTTGCAGGAGGATAATCGTTGATACTAATTTTTGTTCACACATTCAACGACAAAATCTTAGACATCTAACATCTTTAAAACTATGAAACAGTCTTTTTTCTATTTTACCGATTATTAGCATTTCGAACCAAGAAAGTAAGTAATTATATCATTTTTCAAACTTGAAATTATTATTCGATCAATATTATTAGACATGCGGATGATGTTACATCCACACTTGTAATTATAACTATGATACAAGTAATTTCAATTCACGACATTGGTTTCGACGCGCGATCAAGCGTTTGGGTGGTGGCATTGAAGCGGGAGGGTGGAAGAGCAGGACATGGGTAGGCCTCCCTTGCATCATGAGTTGGAAAACATATGTCTTCAGGATGCAGTGGAGGCGGTACATCTGCTGAATAACAGCACCAACAAGTTATCTTGAACTTGTAACTACAAGTAACTTCTATACACCCATCTGAATCTCCACCTGCATTTGCATTTTTCAACACTTCATTAGAAAATCAATTACATAAATACACCATTCAAAATTTAAACAAACAAGCACGTAACTTCTGCTACTATCAGGGGGCGGACTAATTTTTTTTTTTCTAAAGCTGGGCTAATATTTTTATATATAAACTTTTTTTTTTTTTAACACCTTAGAAATCAAATGGGCTGAGGCTGACCTAGACTTCCCTAAATTCGCCGCTGGCTACAAGCTAAATCATTTGGGTTATTCTCTTTGTACAGAAGTAGCGGTTCACCGAACCCTCTCACATGAGGTGGTACCCACCTCAATAAAAAAGTAAAGAAAATTACCCACCTCCCATGTGTGAATGTTCTGAGAGAACCCTTGTACATGCAGCTCAACCCTCTTATTACAAGACATGGATCTGAACGGAAGTTCTTGTTGGAAAGCAGATTTTTAAGGCTACGTTTGATTTAGATTTATGGAATACTGACCGACGTGAATGATGAAGAGGGCAAGAACGACATAGACGAAAATAGCATTTCTCAATTTTGCCATCGCCATTTTTTGTATTGTATCAATGGGTTATTGCTGTACTGAAAATGAACGTGAATATATAGTTGTTGGGAAGTATTAAATTTTCTAATTGTGTTTATATAATCCAATATTGGATTTCGTTAATCTATTTCTAAACGTGTTTACATAATCAAATTTGGATTTCTCGCATATTATATTTACGTATCCGCTTTAGGGTTTGTTTATCTTCATCATCCACTGTGTTAAAGAGTTTCTTTTATTAGGATTCCTACTTGACAAATTCTATATTATTGCATATTAATCCCAATATTAAAAGAGTGTGAATCATTCACACCACGATTTTCTGCCACAAGGGCCAGGGTTCATGAATTCTTGATTTATCTGGAAATAGATTGAAATCAACCCTTTCTTTGACAGATAAATGTAATCCTTCTCTTCTTTTTCTCTTTCTTTATTTATGATCAGTTGTGCAGAATTTGAAAATGTTGGACTCAAGTCATAACTAGTTTGAGGGTAACCTTTCATTGCGAGGTGAATATCCGTACACTTTTATCCCGCATTTGGTACGCAACATTGGATTACAAGACGATTATTTTATAGCACCCTTATGTTTAGTGGGGGAACTTGCATAGTACAATCCAAAGTCGAATAAACAAAGAGACGTATAAATTTGTACTTTCTTGAGCATCTTGTTCATATTTTCTCGAATGTGGGGGATATAATACAGACTAATGCTACAAAATGCAAGCATTTCCCAGTGGGGAATGTCACCTACCCACACTATTTTAGTTTGTGATGTCAACATATAGAAAATGCAGAAGATATGTTGATAATATTTTCCAAGCACAAAGTGAAAAATCTATCTATAACTAATAATAAATCGAACAGAGCGACGAACGACTAAAAATAATGATGTAGACTCCCAAATTATGATAGATAGGCCATTTTGGACACATTTTCTAAGAATCTATCTAAAATGACGTGACTTTACTTGACTTTAGATACCAAAATTTTCTGGTGAAGGAGGCCATATTGGAAAATAATCCAAGGCAGGCTCCAGAACTCTCTCTTGGCTTGCATTTTTTTGTGGAAGTACACCAATATTTTCTCCGGTTAGTCCAAGTTCATTTTCCAAATTTCTTATCCACTTTCTGCATTCAACTTCTCGTTCAGAATTCTCTACAAGATTGGAATCTTTATACTGATCACTTGACTGAGATTCAGTGGAGTACTGTAATGGATCCAAGGTGTCTATCATATTCCAAAAGTCAACATCAAGGTCAAATGGGATTTCAATATTTTCATCTGATGAACTCTTAGGATTGAAACATGATCCCACTGTTTCATCCAGACTCGAAAAATAATCAAGCTGACTAATGTTAGAGAAACTCAATGCATGTGAAGAAGTCGGAGAATCTGAATAAGCTGTTTCTTTTGGTTCGGCAATCAGCCCACGTCGTGTTGATATCTCTTTCAGAATCCCTTTCTGCCCATTTCCACAAGTAATTGAACTTGATTTACAAGAGTCATTGTCTGGATGGAAACCCACATTTTCCCTATTCAATAATCTTTTCTTCAAGTGTGTATTCCACACATTTTTAATCTCATTATCAGTTCTTCCCGGAAAATGAGACGCAATCTTTGACCACCTGTTTAGTGTACAAATAACTGTTAGATAATTAAGATTATTTATGTAGAAAGAGATGGCAAAAGAACATTTATCTTACTTGTTTCCCAACAAGTTGTGCAGGTTTATTATGGTTTCTTCTTCTTGAGGTGTAAAGTTCCCCCGTTTTAAATCCGGTCTTAGATAATTAATCCATCTCAACCGGCAACTCTTTCCACATCTCAGTAGTCCTGCAAATTAAAAACAACTCGATGAATTTAGTAGACCGAGTTTTTTTTTTTTCCCAAACGTGTACTCACTTATAAAGTTTGAGTCGAGAGAGAGAGAGAGCGAGAGAGAGAAAGAGAATATATACCGGCTTGTTTGGGGATGGCGCGCCAATTTTGATGGCCGTGGTTGTGAATGAAAGTGATAAGTCTCAAATCTTCAGCAGGAGTCCATGGTCCTTTCTTCACCTTGCTCTTATCACAGCAAGGAGCTCGTCCTTTTCCCATCTCTTCTCAGTTCTCTCTCTCTCTCTCTCTCACACACACACACACAGACGGTCGAGGGAATTGTTAAACAATATTGTTTATAGTAAGTGACGAAGTGAAGACATGCAGATTGGATAACTGACATGCATGGTGGTTTCTATATCACAACTACTACTCTCAATATATATAGTTTGTACAGTGTGACCTCGCGTGACTACCAACAAGTTATCAACGTCATGCTTGGTGTAAAATTTCTCAATTATAATTACTTAGCTTATAATGGTTTGGATTATTTGTTTTTAATAAGATTTTCCTATTAAAACCCCCATCCCCATTTGCTAAAAAGGTTGATAAAAATTTAAACAAAAATCAACAATTAATTTTAATGAGACCCGTAACTTTTATCAGAATTTATTAAAATTAAATTTTTAACTAAATCAAAATGTATAATTATAATAAGTGGAAAAGATTACGTGGTTTAAAGCACAATTAATTAAAATAAATTAAAGAGACTTTTGCAAGTAAGTCCATAAAATAATTTGTTGAAGCCATCATAATATTAAAAAATTGATATTTAGTGTTTGTTTGGTACAATTCATTTAAAAATTATTTTTTTCGAAAAAAAAAATTCATTTACAATCACATATATTTTTTCAATAACAGGTGAACTCGTAATTTTTTCTTACTTTTAACCATACTTTTTAAAATATATATATTTTACACTTCAATTCCCAAACAAACACTTGAATCATTAAAAATAAAATAAAGGACGTATAGATATTTATGCCCCTAAGTCTTTGAGTTAGGGTAGCGAACATTTATGGTTTTTACAATTTGATACCTAATTTTGACAATATGTCTCTTTTATTGGGTCAGTAGAGTTTATCACTATACACACGACCTCAGGTTGACCAAATATAATCAGCATGACGCGTGGCTTACGTTTATTGATTTTGGATACCACGTGGAATTTTATTTTGGGAAAAAGTGTCAAGTACAGGAAATTCTTGACAGAATTCCTATAGATGCTGTCGTGGCAACATCTGCTTCGTTTTTTTTTTTTTCCCATTTTTCCATGAATTCTCACCACATATTGTATATAAACAATTTATGTACTTGTAACATAATTGTTTTTGCGCTTGTAGCATGATTGTTTTGGTTCAACACACGCGTGTGTTATATTGGTAAAATATATTAAGGGATAGAATCCCACATCGAATAAAGATATAAACATAAACCAACTTATAAAAGATTGAGTTACTCCTCTTAATAATGTTGACCTTTTAAAATGGAAACTCAATTCTTAAAAAATAATCGTTTTATTTTTTGAAATGGGATTTCAAATGTTTGACGAATGGCATACAATTTCTTACTTTGGTAGAATGTAGTTAAGAAACACAAGACATTTCTTAGGCACGTGGAAGCTTTTCTTTTGAGTATTTTGGGTTTCAATGAAAAAATAAATAATAATAATAATACGTTGAAAACTAAATTCAATACAGCAAACGAATTCATAGGCGGAGGAATGAGCCGCGCAGCCCTAGTTCATATAATAATAACACATTGAGAACTTAGCGCCCGTTTGTCCCCATTATTCTCACATTATATGTTTTAGTCCCGGGCAAAAAAAAATTATTGCCCTTGACTCTGTCCCCATACTAATCCCTGTTTTTCAACTGTGAAAGCTTTTAGATACTATTTTACTTGAAAAATCTTACAAGCGCTCTTACACTAATTTTTATATTATTCTATTATCCCTTCGTAGTTTGCATCTATTACTTAAGCATCGAATGGTTGTAGGAAAGACACAACCCAATGCTTCTCTTAATGTTTGGTGTGGTGTCAAATTTGAAGTGTGAATGGGATTGAAGTAGAAGTTGAAAGTAAAGTCTCAAACAAACTACTATAGAGGTTGTCTGGCAATGCTTATAAGCATTTTAACGACCGTTAACAATATTTCCAAGAACAAAACTTACAGAAATTGTGCAGACTGAAATTCAGCTTTTGGCCAACCAATTTTCACATTTGCCCTCCTCACAGCAATTTTCACGTAATATGGTTTGAAAAGTCAAAGAAGGTTGGCAAGGACAAATTGGTAAAAGTGCACTCAATTTATTCTGACAGCGCCAGTCCAACGGTTGTTTTTTTACTTCCATTAACGGTAGGAAATTGAATTTAAAGCATGTCCAAACAGGAATTTATATGCAAATTAAGGAGTTATTTGACAAAAAAAATTCATAAAAATTTTAGCAGATTTTGATAAAAATTATTAAAATATATAATTGAAAAGTTCATAGATTGACCATCGAATCGGAAAAATTGGGTGCTATCATGTATCTTTGTATCGGCTAAATACACGAGTTGGGGATAAGTATATCTTGTTCATTCGTAACAAAATATTTTCATTGTATTATTTGGTCTACATACCGGAACTGATAACATTCGAGATTATACAGGATTATACACGAAAGATCCTATTTTTTGACAATAAAAATCCTTTTTTATGTGGGTAGGATGGTAGTGACAAGACCCCAAAAATCAACATCCAATGACATTGACAATATATACATAAATGGAATAATTATAGACCAACTTAGTCAAAAAAAACTACAAATGGTAGATTAAGTAGGCAGGTTGCCTAGAAAAACTCAAATAATCCAAACCGCTTGGTCAATAAATCTGCTTTTCTTATTGACATAAAACAGGAACATTCATTGTTTGATACTTCGAATAGACTTCTTATTAACGTGAATTACATTGTTAGTATGTTATTTCTAAATGTTGGCCTTCTAACGGCATTTGCACACAACATGTTCTAATATGGAAATTGTCGAGTGCATGGGGCTCGAAAAGCACATGGGAACATTGAACCACATCTTGTGCATGGTGTGCGCTTCGAGAACATATTGTCTGCAGTAGTAAGGTTGTAAGAATAAATTTTGGGTTAATTTCACAATTGGTCATTGAAGTTACCTGAAAATTTCAAAACGGTCACTAAAGTTTCAAAGTTTTAGAAATGATCACTGAAGTTTGAGATTTCTTTCAAAACGGTCACTGACTTTTCAGATGTTTTGAACAAGTTTGAGGCAATTTTTAGACAACTTCCGACCACCAAAACCGTCGATTTCGGATACCGTTGGAAATCCCACGACGTCCTCTTCAATTACCACAAAACATCTCCCCAAAACTCCAAGTGATTCTGTCGGAATAAACCCACGAAGTCGGCAACCGAAAATTGTGAAAATCTGCCCAGATTTTTTCAGATTTTTTGGACAAGTTTGAGGCAATATTTTGGCAACTTCCGACCACCAAAACCTTCGATTTCGGATACCGTTGGAAAGCCCACAATGTCCTCTTCAATTATCACCAAAAATCTCCCAATAATTCCAAGGTATTCGGTCGGAATAAACCTACGAATTCAGCTACCAAAAAAGTCCGAAAATCTACCCAATTTGGGTAGTTGACTTCGTGAATTTATTCCGGCCAAATCATTTGGAGTTCTGGGGAGATTTTTTATGGTAATTAAAGAGGACATTGTGAACTTTCCAACGGTATCCGAAATCAAAGGTTTTGATGGTCGAAAGTTGTCGAAAAATTGCCTCAAACTTGCTCCAAAAATCTGAAAATCTTGGCAGATTTTCACAATTTTCGGTTGCCAACTTCGTGGCTTTATTCCGGCTGAATCACTTGGAGTTTGGGGAGATTTTTGGTGTTAATTGAAGAGGACATCGTGGGCTTTTCAACGATATCCTAAATCGGCGAGTTTGGTGGTCGGAAGTTACCGAAAAAGTGCCTCAAACTTGGCCAAAAAATCTGAAAATTCAATGACCGTTTTGAAAGAAATTTCAAACTTCAGTGACTATTTCTGAAACTTTGAAACTTCAGTGACCGTTTTGAAATTTTCAGGTAACTTCAGTGACTATTCGTGAAATTAACCCAATAAATTTTATTACAATTTTTCTTTCCTAATTTTATTTAATCCGACGTACTAAATGTGTTATTATTGTAAATTTCTAGTTTAATGAACTTGTGATGCATCCCCAATTTTTATTATATTCATTAGAATCGGGTGCAAAAATGGTTACTGATGCAAAGAGGAGGCCTTCAGTTCTCCTCTTTGCACTATGTAATTCTATAATTTGTTTTCTTTGAATTTCACCCTTAACTTGCGGTGCGCCGGTGGCAATGCGTGGTGACAAAAATAGGGTTAGACAAAACTCCCGAATCGAATTGAACCGAGCGGTTCTTCATAAATTAAATACTTGAACGGGTATCTGAATCGAGAACCGATGTGTTTGAGTCAGTTTTCGGTTCTAGCTCAAGAATTGAAGAACTGAGTAAGAACCAAATCTAAATAATTTTTAAAATTTTTTATATTGAATTAATTAAATTATTTTAATTTTCTCTAAACAAATTAGCAAATTAATTAAACAAACTAGTCAAGTATGATGTTTTAATATTAGTATCTACCTTTTTGTATTTGTATACATTGAATTAATTTTATTAGACAGCTTGTTATTTATATATTTTAAAATTGAGCTACGTTAATTTGTAAAAGTTACGAATGAACATGTTATTAGTTGTATTTATATAATGTTATTGTAAATGTTAAAAAATTTAATTATGGTACGGGACCGAACCGAACTTAAACGGTTCAATAATTATATTTGGACCCGACGGTTCCATTTATTAAATATCCGAAAATTTTGGGTCGGTTCGGTTAACCAACCCATGTCCAGCCCTAGACAAAAATTTCAATGCGAGTCATCCATTGGCTCGCACAAATTAACTGGCCGGCTCGGCTCGTATGGCTCATCAGCTTTTATTATTGGTGGGCTTAAAATGGGCCCGTCTAGCCTATTTTAATAGGTGGCATATGCAGCCCATAGTTAAGCAGCCCTCATGGCTGAGTACTTGATGCGATGGCAGCGGCCCATCAATTCTGAATTCAAAACTTTTTATTTAGGGAGCTGCATATATTCATGAGGAAATTACACCTACACCTACTTTTAGATTTCCAA